ATCTGTGTTTACCTGCAGTGTTCCGTTGTGTTAAAGGTTGTCAGTAAAAGTTTTCTTATGCTTACTCCTGCCTTTGGACAGGTGCCTTGATTTGCTCTTGGTTCCCAGATTTAATTATTCCCTTGTGTTTGCATAGGTAACAGGGAAACCTAAACAGGAAGCTGTGCACCCTCAGTGTTTTGATCCCAGTCAGTTAGTGGTTCTCAACTTTTTTTTAGACTCAAGGTTCCCCTTAGGGTACAGTAGCCCTTCACTCATTTTTTTTGACCCTGGAAAAATAATAGAGCAGTTCTGTTGCAGAGAGCTCAAAGACTGCAACAGGTCAGTGTTTTTAAAACTATGGATTTCTATTTGAAATCCATGGGTTTATCTTGTGTGCAAATGTGATTCACCTAATAGTGCTAACACCATGTAGCACTTTGGGGCACACTTGAAAGAATCTCACAGCACCCTCATTGAGAATCGCTGGTCTGAGTGCTTAGGTACCAGCTGAGAGTTTGGTTGCTTTGAAGCAGGAAATCTGCAGTACTTCCTTTGTGGTTTTAAACAGCAATATTTCTCTATTTTCTCTATTATTTTCGTTCTGGGGTTTGAAAGTTCTGGTTCTGTCAGGGCTGCATTAGCCGGGCTGTCCTTGTACCTGGTCTACACCTCATCATTTAGGGCATGAATAGTGAGGATGCCTCATTCTAGTGAAGCTGTCTAGTAGTACATACCCACAGTGACTGAAGTCCTTGGGATATGACCATTATTGGGGCTAATATTACTGCACCGATGTCCTGTATTAAATGTGGTGTGGTACAGGGAGGTGGTGGAATAGCCTCTCTGTAAGAGAGACTCTTGGTTTTCAAAAGCATTTGGGGTTCACTTTGTATTGATTTCCAAGCTCTTATAGATGCAGGAATTAAGACCAAAGAAATAGTATTGTAAGGACCTTTAGTATGCTGTAAGGAATTAACTGTAAAATTAAGTTGCAAAAACAAGTTCAGGACTGACAGACCCAAGTTTTGAATTCAGAGGGCTGCTGGAAAAACTGAAAGCTCTTTCAGCATTGCCTGAAAGGGGGTTCAGGTTGCCAAGACCTTTGCTCTGAAATAAATGCAAGTATTTACCAAGGAAAACTCAGCTTTCATTGACTGCTCGGCACAAGTAAATACTGTGGGTGTGAGGTGTAATGCTGAATTACAGATGAAAAGGCTATAATGCTCTGTGCAGTTTCAGGACTGGTACTTGGTAATGTCAGGATTGACAGAAAACAATTAGTGTTCCTATGCTGTGGATGCCCAAGCTACCACTCCAGTAACTCCTTTTTCTCACAACTAAAACCCAGACTTTTTTTCCTTTAATATCTTGAGATAAGTTTACTTGTTGAAGAAGTTCATCAGGAGATGCTAAGCTTAACCTTATCATTGTCTTTGGGTGGGGGAGTGGGAAGGGTACAGGCTCACTTGATCCTACCTTGGGATAGGTAGGTTTGTCTTGGATTGACCCAGAGTACCAACCTCTGTGGAACACCACCACTCCGTTTCTGGCTATGCTTAGTGTGCCTTGCTTTGATACACTTCCAGGGTGAAAAATATTTGTGGGTTTCTCTAGAAGCCTGGTGTAGCCAACTGCATTCTGTCTTTGGTTTGAGGGTGGTCAATAATGAGCACTAAAACTGATTAGGGAGAATGTGGTGTACTGCTTTCACTAGCTGTTGACTAGGTGAGCCTATTCAATAGAGGTGAAGAAAACAATAAAACCTGAATATAAAGTGTACCTTGATCCATAAGGGTGAAAATTAAAAAATAACAACGTGTCTTAGCTCTTGCTGAATCTGCAGAGAGCACTGATGTTTTTGTTGGTGATTATGGACTTGACTGCAGTTATAAAACATTGGGTATCGGTGAACTGGACAGTCATGTTAATTTCACTCTGTAGCTGCCCAGGAAGCCTACAAGCATGAGACTGGGAACTGGTAGAATTCAGCAGGGAAATCTCTTGTAGTGGTGCATTGGGGGAAGGCCAGGGGAGTTTCTTTTTCCCAATAGCTGAGTAGAGGTTCTGAAGTGATTGGATTCCTATCAGCCTTTGACCTGAAGGTACAGAAGAACTATGGGTACACCAATAAAAAAAATTCTTGGCCGATACTGATAGCTGATTACCAGCCAGCCATATTGGCCAGTACTGATCCAGTAGCTGATTTACAGGAATGCATCTGGGCAGTGTGGAGAGCAGCCCCCTGCTGGAAAGTCTATGTGGCGGGGGGGGGGGAACATGGTGGGGCAGACTGAGGCCCCTATGTTGAGGGAGGGAGAGGGGCAGGCACTGTCCAGCCAGGGCAGTGAATGTGACCTCTGGGCTGTGTGGGATAGGGGAGGTATATGGAGAGCATGTCTCTCCCTGGATTTGTGTGTGGGGCAAGGGTGGGCTGTGGGCCAGGGGCTGTACCAGTCTCTTCCTGGCAGGTGTGCTGAGCCAGGGCTGTGCTTGGGGTGGGCAGTGGTGGTGCAGGTAGGGGTGGCTACAGGGTGGGCTATAGCCACCTATCCCAGTGCTGCCACCCACCCTGCCCGCTCCGAGTGCAGCCTTGGCACAGCCCCTCACCCAAATCTGGGGGTGGTACATGAACCCCATGCTTCCCCAGGGGGGAGGGGTATAGCAGTGGGGACTGCCTTTCCCATGCCCCCTGGATAAGCTGCCTTCAGCTCTGTCCTGCTTCTGGCCCTGGGGTCGCATTCACTGTCCTGGCTGGGCAGCCCCTGCCCCTACCCCACTCTTCCCCTCGCTGTAGGGGCTTCAGTGTGGCACCCACCTACACCCCTTCCGTCCCCCCCCACACCTCTACCTCCTGCCCCCGAACCACAGACTTACCAGCAGGATGCTGTTCTCCAAGCTGCCAGGCTGCATTCGCAAAGTTTATCAGTGACATTACTAGCTACACTGGCCAAAAAAAGCCAATCGCCATTCATGTTATTTTGCCTTTTATTGGTGCCGATTCAATGTACAACTGATGTATTGGTGTACCTCTAAAGAGAGCCCCCATGTAGACTCTGGGATAGTTATCATCCAAAGAATATGTTACTCTTAGAGTGTGTGCCGTAAAATATTGGTCAGGATACACTTCATATTTGCATTTTACCAGTTTCTGGTTGATATCAGGGGTGGAGTTGTACCCCCTTTTGATTCCAGCTGCCTGGACAGGGCAATCACACTTCTATTTAGGCAACCCTGAGAGAGTCGATTGACTTCATGGCTCCTTATTGGCCACTTGAACCACGCTAATCTCTCCATTTCCCAGGTGTTAAGGACCCTCTCTCCTTTTAATGGTCTTGATGTTCCATTAATTGAGCTATCCTTTCTTATGCCATTTTGCTATCTGTTAGCCATTCCTAGTAACATCCTTCTTCTGTTTCACAGCATTGCAGACTTAGTTATAGCTAAAAACCTTCTCAGTTTTGGTAATATTAATTTGTGTGTGGCAATGACTGACAGTTGGACAGACTGTCAAGTTGCTCAAATAGGCTAAATTTTTTTTAGATGCAAATCTGAATAAAAGATGCACATTTAACTATGACTACAGGACAAGCAATTTCTTTTGACTGTTTTTGCCTAGTTGTGTGTTTTTTAACTTGATATGTAATCTAGCAAATTGGTCCAGTTATATTTGCTTTTGCTTCGATCTTAAACAATAATGTAGTGCTAATGTAGCACCTCTACTGTATTAATAACACTTCTAGTTCCTTTTTAACTGGAGAAAATATATTTTTTGTGAAGATGCATCACCCTCAGCCTCCTTATCAAAATTTTAGATCTACCCAGGGCTTATAAATGTCCTGTACATCTTTCAGGCTCTTGAATTTTATTGCATTTTACTTCACATAAATATGGGTTTGAAGAAAAGTATGCTTGTGAGATTTATTCCTATGTTGTTTATTTAAACTCTCTTAATGCAGATTCCTTCTGGTTAAATGGGACAATTTATATGTTCTGAATAACTTATTACAGTAAAAGCTTTGTTATCTGGCACCCATGGGGAATGGAGGGTGCTAGATAACAAAATATGCCGGTTAACTGAGCAGCCCAAACGGGTGTCTTTGCCTGTTCGGGCCGCTGCCTGGCCCACTGCATCTGGGGTGTTGCCCCCCCTCCCGTCGCATCACTGACCCTGCTGTAGGCCCTGAGGGACAGGGAGGGGGGACCCGCACAGGCTGCTATGCCCTGGGCTGTGTGGGCTTGACAGCGCAGGCTGCTTTGTCCTGGGCCATGAGGGCTCCACAAAACTGGAAGTGCCATGGTGGGCACTTCAGGTTTCACTTTTTCCTTACAAGCCCTTATAAATCGGCATGCCGGTTAAGAGAGCATGCTGGCTTGTAAGGTGCTGGATAACTCAGCTTTTACTGCACTACTTTTTTTTTTCCTTGAAATTTGCTTCCAAGAGGAAAGAGCTCAATTGTGAGCAGTTAATACTAAATAAAGCTGGAATTTGATTACATGACCATTAAACCAGTAGCACCACTCAGTTTTCATACATGTATATGGTTGGCTTAATAGTCATATAGTCAAGTTCCAGTTTTATTTGTTATTGTAGAACTAGGTTTCTGGCATGCATATTGGGCTTGAAAACTTAATTCTGATGGAGTTGTCTTTAATATTACTTCAAAGGTAATGATTTGGTAAATATTCCTGTCTGTAAACTTGCTCATTAGAGTGCTGGCAGAATGTGATCTTAGTTGAGGCAAAATATTGTAAAATATTTAAAACAAATATTTTCAGGACTTTGTTTTATTAGCCTAGCTTAATTTTTAGTGTAACTTGCTGATTTTGTGATTTGTTGCATTTGGGCATTAATGTCTGTAGTCCTGTTGAATTGCAGAGGAAGTTTGTAGTTGTTATACAGGAATAAATTGTACTGTATAAAACTTAGTGCAGACCTAAATGTTAGAGGGATAACTTAAAAAAATTTCAGATGGATGCAGCTTTTCAAGTTTGATCATGTTTTATTTTTCCAGTAATCTATGCCAGCAATTATGACAATGTTAGCAGACCATGCAGCTCGCCAGCTGCTGGATTTCAACCAGAAATTGGATATCAATCTCTTGGACAACGTGGTGAATTGCTTGTACCATGGAGAAGGAGCACAGGTAATTTTTATGTTCAAAAACGTAGAAGTTTTTGCTCAAGGGTACTGTGAAGTGGATTATGTCTAACTTTTACTATAAATCTTTAGAAGAATAACTATTTCAGATTCATTAAGCATGTTAAATCCAGGAGTTTATTTAGACTGAAGTGCTCTCTGGTTCATAACTATAATATTCATGGGGGAAAAAAGCACTTGGTATTTCTAGTAATAAAAAACCTAATGCTGAATTTGAGAGTCATTGTTTAATGAGGCCTTATTTAACTAGCATCACTTAGACAGTTTTAACTTAGTTTATCTCTAACATTTTTTCATCTCTTGTTGAAAGTTAAGAATAAGAAAGGGCAATCTCTCTTGCAGTTGTTTCTTTCCCATATTCCTGTAGGGAGAATCCTAATTGGGTCATGTGTGATGATATGTTACCATGGTAATAATTGTGATTTCACAAATTCACCATTGACTTGAATGCAGGATAATATTTGAGAGGGAAAATCTTTTGCTTAAATGTTCTTTGGTAGTTGTACTTAGCAATAGGAAAAACAAAAACATGCATTTCTGTGTTGTCTTCCTTTTGCCGTTTTTTTTCCAAATCTTCCTTGGTTGGTTTTGAAATGTTGTTACTTGAATCAGATTTAAGCTTGATATATACTACTGGTCTGAGAGTAAATTGGTTGAAAAAACCATATAAATTAGGTATTTCAATGAAATTAAGGTAGGTACTCCCTCAAACTACTAGTACCTCCACTCTCTTCCTGGCATACTTCTCATCACTTGCTACAATCCATCACCAATTTGTAGTAAATTTCTTACTGTAATGTATCCTTAAGCAGTGAGCAAAGCTGAAGAACAGGGGCGGTCAATTAGTTTGGGTGGAGGGCTGCTTACTGAGTTTTTTGGCAAGCCATCGAGGGCCACGTGACGCAGACAGTGGCAGATAAATACTAATTTACTAAATTTTTTTAGCGGCCCCACGGGCCAGATACAAAGGCCTGGCGGGCCGCATCCAGCCCACTGGCTGCATTTTACCCACCCCTGCTGAAGAACATAAAATGCGGCTAAATTCTAATTTATCTCTCATCGATCAACTGAATGGAAGTAACCCTGTATATACCACCTTTGTGCCTAAATTGTACTTTTGTGCCTAAATGCAGTTTTTGTTGTACCAGATTATTAATGTGAATTCTTAAAGTGCTGAAATCAACTGTTGAAGTGTTTCTTGTGGGATATACAGTTTGTAGGATCTCCATTTCTAAATTTTTTGGATATATGGTGTCTAGTAGTCTTTTATTGAACTTATGTTGAATAATAGGAAACTAAAGCTAAAACATGTTATCACTAGGGATCCTGGTTTTCCCTGATTTAAAAAAAATAAATAAATTAAAAAAATTGCAAGTTCTCTGCTTAACAACCCCCCCCCCCCCTGCTGCCTGCTGTAGGCTCTGGTGGGGTAGCTCCCCTTGTTGGGTGCACTCCCAGTGGGCAGGAGGGACCTGCACCCCCCAGACCTGTGCGCAGGGCAGGTGCAGGCTGTAGGCTCGGGCTCCCACCCTGCTTCCCTCCCCCAGGGCCTCTGCAGCCCAACAGGCATGACCCGGTGTGGCAGGGAACAGCCAGGCTATGTGGGGATTTTCTCGCTGTGAGCTCCGTGCTGCCCTGGCAATGCACCTCCTGTGCGTGCTGCTGCTCTCATTGCAGCCCCGTGTGCAGGGGGCAAGTCGACAGGGCAGCGCAGAGCTTGCAGGGGCAAGCAGGTTCTCCGTGCAGCTCCTCTGTTCCCTGCCACACTGGGTTGTACTCGCTGGCCTGCGGAGGCCCCAGGGGAAGGAAGCGGCTCAGAGCTTGCGGTGGTGAACAGTTTCTCCATGTGGGCCTGCTGCTCCCTGCCACCCTACTTCTCTCCCCCCTGCTTCTCTCCCTTCTCAGCCCAGTGGGTGCAACCCAGCATGGCAGGGAGAAGAGGAGCCGCACAGAATCTGCGAGCTCCGTGATGCCTTGACAACCTGCACCCTGCGCGCAGGGCTGGACCCCTCGAAGCAGCAGCACATGCAAGAGGTGCATTGCCAGGGCAGCGTGGATCTTGCAGTGGCAAGGAAATCCCTGCATGGCCTGGCTGTTCCCTACTGTGCCGGGTCATGCCCATTGGGCTGCAGAGACCCTGGAGCAGGGAAGTAGGGCAGGAACCCGCAGCCTATGCCTGCCCCACATACAGATCTGGGGGTGCGGGTCCCCCCTGATCCCCTGGAGTAAGTGTGCTGGCAGAGAGCTGGCCCTCTCCCTCCAGACGAGCTATCTGTGGCCCCATCCAGCTCCCTGCTGGGGCCCTGCAGCTGTGCATTGCAGCCCCAAGAACCCCCCAGCTGGGCAGCAGCCCCAGCCCTGCTCAGCTCCCTCCCTCCCTCCCTACAGGAGCCTTGATCTTCCTCTTCCCACCCCCCTCCTGCTGGAGCTACTCTGCAGGCTGCCTGGGGCAATGCATATGTATGTGTGCATGGTGCCACCTGTCTCACCACCCTCCTCCCACTCCCTCCCAGCTCCCTGCAGGCTGGAACTCTGGCAGCCTGTAGGGAGATCACTGCAAAATCCATGGGTTTCTCTAGTAAAGCAAGAAATCTGTGTTTGCCTCTGGTAAAAAGTAAAATCGGTGGTTTACTCCATTTTTCTGTTGACCAGGGATTTGAATTTTCCGTTTCCATCACATGATATAAATGTGAGACAGTTTTGGTTTCAGTAGGGTAGTAGAAGAACTTGAATCATTCAGTTTTTAAATTAAATCAGTTGGGTACAATTTCATTGCATTATAGATCTTCTAATCTTTGGATATTTAAATAAATACAAGTTAAAATAGGAAACCAATATAAATTGGTGTTTGATAGTTTAGACCAGGGGTGGGCAACTATTTTGAGCTGGAGGGCCACTTAAGGAGTTCTGG